GATAGTGATTAAATTGTTTCTCAAATAGGAACCACTCTATTTGTGGATCGTAGATGTGTCTTTGTATGATGAATTTCAAATTAGGGTAAAGCAAACAACGAAGCATGGCATAAGATGTAATATAAATATTTGTGCGTGACTCTCTCCATAGCTATGGACCGTTATCTAGATTCGTTTCTCACATTGCTCCACATGTTAGGGGTAGCTCGTTGCCTCTGGTTTTGTCACGTCTAGCTGATTGAAACAACTCTCGATAGGCCTTCACATTGACATAGCAAATGTCGCTGTTTTCTCCTCTTTTTAGCAGAATCTGCATTCAGTGTTTTCTTCTACTCCCATTAGGCTTAGATTTCTTTTAAGTCAATAGTGGCTTGGCATTGGGCGTTCTATAGAGTCACTTTTTTTGTAACTTAGCAGTTCTGCTTTACTTTTGACTCATGGAACTCCGCCGAATTATTTGCTGCACTTTTTTTGATGGCTGATTTTGCAATGCGGTTAGGTACCCTGATTTGACACATTTTTGCCGACGATTTCTTGTGCGCTCTCATTGCTTTTGTGATCTTACTTCATTCTAATTTGCTATTTCGTCTAATCTTTTATAACAATCGAAAACTAACTTAGAGTTTATTTTGCTGGATAGCATAACGCCGCATAATGCCGCTTGACTGTTAGTGTACATCGCAATTGTATTATTACGAAACTTATTCTCTTGCACAGCTTGCCGATTGAAATATATTTTTTTATTTTATTTCTGGATTCATATATTTCAGCTCCGACTCGTTATTGAGGTTTTGAGTTAACTATGTATTAGATGTCTGATTTATTGGTGGATCATTTGTTGAGTTTTTTCTGGTTGGAATTTCAACAATGTAATATAATGTATAAGTAGTATAAGTTCTAAAACTTCTTCTGCCTTTATCACATTGCGGAGCTTGTCTTGTTTCTTGGCCTTGACTGATCTTGCCGTGATCTATATGCAAAGAATCTTCTTTTGTGATTTAATAAATCGTACTGTAGCCATGTTGGAATCGGATAAGAAATTGTTCTGCTTAATCTGACATGTTCTAAGATACAACCTTATACAACTAAGATACAACCTTATACAACAAGTTTTGACTACATTTTAAGTCCAATTAATGTTATACATCCAATTTATAGTGCCGACGGAAAAAACTAAATATAATGCACATTGGGATAAATTAAATTATTTTGGCTATAAATAAGAAGTTTTCACATCTCGTGTCAACTACAATAAAAGATAAATTACTCAAAAATAAATTAGCCCCAGAAATGCAAATGGGTAGATGATGCAGAGAGTATTTTGTGTTTTTTAAAAATTCCTTGACAGCTAGTAATATAAGACAGGCCAAAAAAAGTTGGAGGGGTCTCTTATTGTGGATTCCTTCTACTATTTCAGGTATTTTTACTTTCACAAAATGTCCGGATAATCATTACTTCTCGTGGGACATTTCTGAAATTCAGAAGCATTCTTAACCAATGAAGAGCATTTCAGAGCATTATCCATCTCATCTTTCGTTCAAGAAGGGGTTAAACTATTTAAATTAAAGTTTGTTATAACTGAAAAACAAAATGTCAAAAATATTTTGATGAAAAAGCTATCAAATAAATACTATACGGTGTATTTCACCTAAATAGCTTATTAGATGTATGTCAAGAAGAACTATTTTAATATTTTGAATTTATTATTAAATTATTTATTAATAATTAAATTATTAGTTAAATATGCAGGGCATGTCATGTAGCCATGGTCCATATAAGCCTTTCTTGTTTTAAATAAGTCACCTCATTTGTTGTGGCGTTTTTGGATTTTAATTAAAATTTTAAACAACTTTTATTAAATGTTATTATTTTAGATTATACATTATTTAGATTTGATGTTTTTTGGAAAAAGTGTCAGACGCAGTACATTATTTCAAATTAAATTACTCAATATCGGTAAAATGTTGGAAGATATTAACAGAGATGCGTTTTTTAGAAATGTTGTATTATTCTACGCCCTGGAAATATAGGCAAATTTATTTCTCAGATTTCGAAATATTTAGATTCGTCTTGACTTATTTTCCATTTTCCGGACTTCCGCGTTGACATGTTTGCCAAAGTAATCCAATGTTCTTTTTAAAACTTGCGGCTTAATTAGTGACTCATTTCCATTAAAACTTCTGACCGGATCGAGACGGACTGAATTAATATAAAATTTGTTTCGGCGCTGTTATGAATAATGTTCGTTATTGTAGAAACTAAGTTTAAGCAGAAACTTTGAGCAAAAAGTGTATTTGAAATTATAATTAAGCTACGTAAGATTAAATTCCTGGGGTTCACAATAAAATTACGAACTGTTTTCGAAAGTACATACATAGTGATTTTGTATTTTACATGTTTATTCTAACCACTGTCGCGACAATACTCACTTTATAAGGCGATAGGCCTGAAATTCCGTCTGTTGTTGGAAAAAGACGGAATCAGAAGTTGAATTTTCAATTTTCGTCTATAAAACTCAAAGTATGCCAAACATGACCAAAAAGTGATACCGGAGGGAAAAATTAAATAATATACGGATTGTTTCATCAAAAAAATCTCAGTTGTGTCTAGTTTTCGATAGAAGCGGCAACACTCCTACACTGAAAATATTTTAGGTCGATAGAGGAGTAGAAAAAATCTATATGACTAGACAGGCATTCTGAATTTATTAGCAATGATATCTGTTTCTAAGTACAAAACAATTTCAAAAAGAACTTTTGGTGTTAACAGCAAAATAAAATGTACGCAAATCCAGAACATGGATTAACATCTACTGGAAAAAGTTTATTTCGGTACGAGCAAAGAGAACCTCATAAACGAGCGACTGAGTTTATCAATTTGTAGCATATAATACTCGTATATTTTTAATTAATGAACTAGCCAGTGCCACTAAATCATGACACTTCTTGGACGAATTTAAAAGGAAGGCTGTTGCGTATAAGGCATTTGACTTGTTTTGGACTGTTCTACAATTTACAAATATATAATATTGCTATAAAAAAACCTTGAAAGTGCCTTTAATGACTTGTATTAATTGTTATTTTTGGGTTTCAAGTAGTAAAACTTTTAAAAAATTCCTGCGAACCCTTTTAATAGAAAATTGTGTGCATGGTATCGATGAATATCTTAATATATAACATAAAATTTATTGATTAGCAAATCGAGTTATATACGGGGTGTTTCAAAACAAGTGCAAAAGACTTCCGGGGATGAATGACGTATGTAACGGAAGTATTACTATTACAACAACACACTTTCTGTATATTTTTTTATTGTTTTAAAATTAGTGTAGGGGAAAGGTTACCCCTAAAATTCGTAAAGAAATTTAAACAAAATTTTGGACATAAATTTTCTAAACAATTACATTTCAAAATAATTTATTTATAAACACTTCTGAAACTAATTTATCAATTCATGCGCAAACGATGAATAAATATCCCGTTTATAACATTTTATTTAAATAATGTAACTAAAATGAAACAACAAATTAGCAAGACACCTAAGGCAAAACAAAAATACCATTTTTGTAGCAAGTGTTGCAAATGCCTGCCTTCAAATATAGTACGTGTGTTTATCCTACACATCATTGAATCCCTAATAATTTGGAATATGCCTGGATTATTTGTTATTAAAAGGCGCAATTATCAGATCTTTTAGGTCTTTCTTTTAGATACCCCCATTACATGTAGTACATGTCTCTTTTAATTTACAGGGGTAAATTTTCTAGCAAAAGACGTAATCCATCTAGTACAACACGCAAATAAAACTCACCAGCTAATCTGGGAGGTAGAAAGTGACCTAATTAAATGATAATCAACAATTCGTGAGCAAACCTCCAATCTTCTCTTTTTTTCGAAATTTCCAGATTCCTTGAAACTTGGTAAATAAGCTATGATGAGGGCGTCTACGATTAGTTTTGGTTAGTTAGTTATAACAAACTACCCTTTATTTTAAACTAGGAAACAGCCCTTTAAGTATTTTGCATTTGTTTTGAAACAGTTCATAATTTTTTGCATAAGAATTTTTCTTAGTCCTTGGTAAAAAAAATCATTTGATTTTATTGCGCCGAAAATTACATCAAACCTACAGATACCAACTTAAAACTTCACTATCTGAGTGAAATAGTTGATTTTACAAGGCGATAGATTTAATTTTATCCTCCAAAGCCATTTCGGTAAAAACCAAACGCATAGAAAAATGTTACGCCTAACATGTCTAAACGAACAACCGACTATTAAACAAAATTCCACTTTGCGGACAAACATAATCATGTTGACACCAAATTGGTTTTTGATAATTTTGTAAACGATTTCGATGGACGCCGGCCCGCGTTATTTATCAATTTTGCCCTTCACATGTGTGATTTTGTGAATAATTGTAAACGACTACATGAAAGGGGCGGGCTTTGCGCGCGACACGAAAGATTCAAACGGTTTTTAGATTAACCCGCCGCACACGCTTTGGCAAAATTACAGGTTTAGCAAAAGCGGGCGGACGCGCACTAGTTTGATCGAAAATTTAGAAGGCGCGATTGAAACGATAATTAAAAATGGTACATTTAGTTCCGTATATTAGACGCAGTAAAAAAAGCACAAATACAGGGTGTTTGAAAGAACTTTTTATGGGAGTCTAATAGTATCGCATATATATTTTGCCTTTCGTTTCGTTTTGTTTGAAGGTTTCTAAAGAAGAGAGTTACGTAAGAACCTTTTACAGTTTAATCTTAATAACGAAGTTTTCGAATATCCAACTGACTCTAGGAAGCTGGCACTGTTGCTTGATGCTGGTTTAAGGTTTTCGGATAATTTTAGCGTGAACTGCTTGAAAAAGGCATTTACAACCTTAAACTCATTTTCAGGCAAAGATATCTTTTAAATCAAAGTATAAGAAAATCATGTGATAGTTTAGTCTCATCTCAGTTTAACTTTTCTGAAACTCCAGCAATTGTTGTGTACGTTGATTGCTAGTTGGTGCTAAAATCAGTGCCATTAGACAGGTTCGACATTGAGGAAAGGCGTCATTATCATGATATGGTACAATAAAATAAAATAATAAGTTATCGATGTTTTCAATATCTATTTGAAAACATTAAATTTAGTTAGATGCTCATAATTTGGACTTGAAGCATAAACACATTATGCCTCACCCCTCCTAAAGCGTCACCCTTTATGAGCTCGTTTTCGTAACAGGTTTAATTAAATTCAGTATTCTCGGCAGTCTTAAAATTTTACCTCCTAAAACCATTAAAAAGGATGCTGGTAAACTGAGTGGGCAGTTGAACTGTTACGCTGCATATGAATCGCCTTGACTGCAGACCCCAATATAATATACCCCAGACTCATTTTCTTTTCTTTCTCGTTTTTTTTTTTTTTTGGTATTGCTTGCGTCTTTGTTATATATTGTGCGTAAATGTTTCGTTCTAAACATACCGGCATTAAGGTTACTAAAAAAAAGTGGCTTAGTATCTATATGTAACTATACCTTACAAATTTCTTTTTATTGTATTTTGTTTAGTAATAACATTTATGGCGAATGAAATATCTCGACATCGCTATCCCTCCGAGCTTTCTTCATTTTGTTTCCATCCCTGCAAATTAAATATTGTTCCCTAAACCAGGCAGATTGTTGACCACTGGAGTCGAAAGCGCTTTTTATATCTTTTAAGCAAGTACAGTTGTACGGATTGTGCTCGAAATTTTCAACACTACCGAGTTTCGCTGTTTCTCGTACGTCCCCATGTATGCAGGTGACATTGTTGAAACTCAGTTTAAGCTCGTTTACGTTGCTGGATGAGTTTTCGTTCCAGACTTTTATAAAATTATTGTCTAGAAACAATTTCCCTATTCGAATATTATCCATACCTACAAGAAAATAATAGTGTATAAATGCAATAAGTATTATAAATAAAATTTTGGATTTTTTTCATTTTTTTTTTCGATTTACCAACAGTGTGTTAAATCTATAGAAAACATCAGATGGCTCCCAAACTCTCACTGAAGTACCGGAAATGAAATCACACTTTGTGTACGCTTGATTAGTGCATAATTAGTTCTTTTAAAGTAGTAAGCAGGAAAAATAAATTTTATTCAGCTTCAGGCAGTACAGACAATATGGAGAATCGATATTTAAATTGAAAATTGCGTTGATTTGGGAATTTTAAATGCAATGTTCCATGTATTATTACATTTCTTTTGCAGTGCCCATTTGTCAGTCTACGGGAACCACAAAGCAATTTCTTCTTTTTTTTTTTTAATTCAATGAAAAATTCTAAAATTTTCTGCTTAGATTACAGCTCTCTGAAGCTATTGCGGAGATACAAGGTGTTTGCAAAAAACGTTAAGTTTAAATGGATCTCTTTGAATTTTATTGCAACAATAAAAAGAACGATTCATTTGAAATCTAAAAGTATTATAACCTAGTATCCCTATTCGAAACGGTTTTGAAGTTAAAAGCCAACAACTAGAATAGTGCTAATGACTCTTTTAAACCATGATGATATATTTGGATAATTGATTTAAAATAGTATTTATCAAACAATTTATTAGATAGTTTTATTTTATTGTCATCTGTTGAGACCATGTTCCAACAACCATTTATAAAAGTAGCATACAAAATGGGAGATTCTGCAACCCGAAAGTTGTTTGTTTGAGCATTGCTTTCTTTGAACATTTTCACTCGTCAGTCCAAATAATTTACTTTAAAATATTTAAATCTTCTTGAAATTTTATTAAAATCTGAGGGAGGTCGGAAGATACACAAACACTATTTTGTTTATAGCAATTTTTATTGTCGCATGAGGATATCCATACAATTTATGTATAATTTCTTTTGATTTACTGCTGTAATTTTATTGCACAAACACACAAATCGTTGTTTGAATAGGAATTCTGCATTTAAAAATAACAAAAATTAATAAATAAAATGAATTGTTTTATAAATATCATATAATTGGGCTTTCAAATTAAATCGACATGGGCTATTGCTAAAAATTTCATTATTTGAGTGTTTTCTTTTATCTTCGAAAGTGCTCAAAATAGGTACAGCATTTTATTATAGTTTTAGATCAACAAGGAATCGTTACTGATATAAGGGGGATTCCATTTAAAATTCGAATTTAATGTATATATGTATATTTGTGTATTTCTCAAAATAAACATAATATGTACTCTTATATCAAAAATTATGGTGAACTGTAAACGAAAATGAATGAATTAAAATTTCAAAAATATATTTTTTATCTCCAAAATACCTTATTTATTTGACATAGAAAGTTTCCGATTTTTTTGTAGAATCAAAAAATGTAATAATATATAGAGCATTCCAATAAAAAAAAAGAAAGAAATGTGTGTCTGGTTCGAGTAAACGTGCCAACTCTGCAATATCCAATATATTGAAGAAAAAAATTAAATTCCTATCTTTTCGATTCTCCATAGATTATCGAGCTTAGAAAATCATATATACCGCTGTCCAGACAGGGGCACAGCACACTCGGATTCAGTTTCTCAGTGAACGGAATAATGATTTTAAGTGTCTCATTCGAAATCTAAGATTCCCTATTTGATATTTTTATATCTGCAAAAATACGCTTTCTACGTAGCTTGGTAAGTGGAAGCCGAATTCGCTATTAAAAATGACGGCTGTCAAATCTCAAATGTGTGACGCCCTCTTGGTTTTTGATGTAATCCTGGACGGATCCTGTTAGTGTTCACATGCATTTTTCAAATATTTCAAAATAATTAAAATACCTAAGCAACTATTAAAATTAGTTATAGAGAATCTTGTAGCATTCTGAGATAAAATTTTCTCACAAATCCAATACTAAAGTAATATACCTGGTTTTCAATTACATAAAATAAGGAAGATGGGAGCTGTGAAATACTTACGAGATACATTCATCATTTTGTTTGGTGTTCATTTTTTTAACCAAGTATGTATATATTGTTTTTATCGATTGACCCAAAGAAGTGAAATTCGCAATTCATATCAAATTGTGGTCTCTTAAGATTATGCGAAAAGCGTCATGAATCGAATTTCAAGCTACCACGTGCAGTTTACCCATTTTTTGTCAGGAGGAGTTGATTTGGATACACAGAGAAACATAAAATTCGTCCATTTCAGCGAAAACTCTCTCACATAAGTTGTCTAGAATCCAATGGCTTACTCAGATTTTTTTGTAAAAACTAATATAAAAATTTATCATTTAAATTCTAAATAATAAAATTATAGGATTATTAAACTATTAACTTATTTTTTTTCACTATAATGAACTTTGAGACATAATTTTTCTCACTCAACCATTCATACAAGCTTTCAATTAAAAAACTAATGATTATTATTTGTCTATATTATTTTGACATTTAAGAAAATATATGCTTATTCAATCCTAATTTTATTTCACCTAGCAATTCTGTTATTATTATTACTGTCATTATTACCATTATTATTAGAAAAATATAATCTACAGAATAAAAAGCATACTTCAAATTTTTTCTGTATATACTGTATAAAAAACATTATTATAATAGACTGCAAAAAATGTGAGATATGATGCAACGATAATGTAATTTGTAATATTCTTGTTTGTAAGTATATTGTTAATTAACAACTTTAAGTATTTATACTTAGTTTTGGAAATATTCCCTAACTCGTATACATTATTAGATATCGTAGAACAAATTTTTAATAAATATGCATGTTGTTTCATTCAAAATATTTAAGTTGGGCTTGCATCTCAAAACTTGAATAAAAAAATCTGAGTACGCCACTGAATTCTGAATTCTACATTCCAGACCAATTATCCCCGTAAATGCCCAAATATGAATTAGTAAATTATGCTAAAAATGTGTGGTAGCTGGTGGAAATCAGTTTGAGCAGTTTCTTTAAAGTTTAATAGTAATACTAATAATAATCATAATCATAATCATAGTAATGATAATATGTTCATTGGGATAAAATCGAGCTAGATAGTTATATTTTTTAAAATGTCAATATATAAGTTTATTTTAAAAAATATATTGAGGACAGCGAGTTATATTAAAAGAATCGCCTTTTATAAAAAGGCTCATTACGCCTCTACGATTCTACATAAAAGATGTATAAGTTTCGGTTTTCATCATCTTATTAAGATGCGTTTGTACTGTACCTCAAAAACAAAATCAGAACTATTTTGAAAACTTCAGTTTTTGTTTCCAGATATTCTAAAACAGTATTGACAAAGCTGATTTGCTTTATCTCTAATAATAACTGACATAACCTGCAATAACAACGATTAATAAATCCATTTATTTTAATTTTCGCTTAGTATTTTTTGTTCGTTTTGTATCACAAGTTAAAGTGTTGTCTTTTTTGTCCCAATTTCGAGAGTGGGGCAAACTGCAGGGGATAATTTTGTTTCTAAACCGTTAATGTTAATGTAATTTTAACATTGAAACGTTATCTACTACTCATTACAATACGACTTTACTTACCACGAAACGCCAACGAATGAACGACCGTTATTTTGTTAAAACTTAGGTAGATATTTGGATTAAACAATTGCCCTCTTAAGTTCCGGAAAACGTCGTTTGGGATGACAGTAAAAAAGTTATTTTCCAAGTGTAACTCTCTTAAACGCTGTGTTTTATGGAACCAAGCGTTGTTAAACTTTGTCAGCAGATTATGAGCCAAATAAATCTCTTCCAGATTGCTCATGTAACTTAGGGCGTCGTCTTCTATAAACTTGATCCTGTTGTGGCTCAGATTTAAAGTGGAAATCAGTAGATCGTTAAAAGTGCCTGAAAAAAAATAAAGGAAATTATATCACCAAATTACTTAGACCATCGTTGGCTCTTTGTAATATAATAATATATTTTGCAACAAGTTTGATGAAGGACACTTTAGTCACGGTTTTATTTTACTAGCGGATTGAGTGTTTAATAAACGAGTGACTAAAGAAGTTTATCAACTTATTGCATACTATGTTTTTTCAGCTACTAATATTTAAAACATTGCACAAATTAGCAACGGATATGAAATTGTACAGAATATTAAAAACTGAAAAAAAATCTTGGTAAACTCCAGACCATTTATATTCAAAATAATCTATTTTTTAAGATAAATAAATCCCAAACTATTTCTTCTAGAGGAAATAAATCAACAGCAAATTTTGACTACAAAATTGCCCATTTAACATTTAATGTCATCAGAGACCTGGGAACTATTATTAATTCTGGTTAGGTTATTTTATTACATCGTTCGAAAATGATCTAAGTTTAAAATTGTCAAAACTATTCTATGTTTATTTAACGAGTTTGCTTTTGACCTGCTTTCATTTGGACAGACCGAAAGGGTTCAAAATAGGTAACTAAAATGTATTTCATTTATAGAAATATTTTATAATCCTGAACCCGTGATTGCAGCTCTGATCTACGAATACTTTAATAAAAGAGTTAATATTATCCCATTAACTAATAGAAGAAGGCTCGTGAATATAACGTTTCTTTAGAAAATGTTTAGAGACCATCAGGAAGGTTTTGTGTAACAGTCCAACGTGGTCCGCGTTAAATGACCCGCTTTCCGATCTGAGAAATGTTAACGCCTACAGGAAAAAAACATTGTTATATACCATTAAAATTGTTCTTGAACACCCAATTTTATCATATAAGTTATAAATAGGGCATTCCATTTAAAAAAATCGAGTAAATTTACAAAACGCGACATGTAAAGTATTTGAAGGAAATTCCAAACACTTCGTGTATGACAAGTTCCATTTAGGTCAAAAAATGAAGAAACTATATCGTTCAACTCTCTGAATGTATATCAGTATACAGGGTGCTTTATTTATAATAAGAAAGTTTGTGCTTATTCAGAAATAACTAAGCACCCCGCATGTATACAAACAACATAGTTAGGAGGTTAAACTGAATTCAAGAAATTTTTGTATTTAACTGTTTTTTGTATATCTCACCATTTCTCAGATCGAATAGTGACTCATCTTTCGTCGGCCATGTTATACAAAACCTACCTGATGATCTGTAATCATTTGATGTATGAAACTTGTTTTTGTTTGGAAGGTTGATTTTCTCTCATGTAAATTATTTTGTAATTTTGTGGACACCGCTTAGGTACTTGGCGTTATATTTGGATTTTTTGTTTTCCGTAATATTTACTAATTAATTAATTAAAATAATTAAATATATTTGTAATGATTTGTAATTTTCCGATTCTGAGATGTTTTCTGCAAATAACTGAACTAGGGAACAGCTGTCTGTAAGTAAACTGTAACCATATTTCTTTTTATAACCTATAATTGTTATTTAAAATAAAAGTTTTCAATTATTGCGTACTCTTGCTTGACGTCCAAAATTTTCTCATTTCCAAGAGGAAATTTCAACCAAATTGGTAATGATTCTTGAACCACTGCTGCAAAAATCTTATTAATTAATCTGGTCATAACAGTTTGACATATACATAACCAAGCAGTTTTTCTCACTGAATTTTAGTAAGACCACACAAGTAAAAAGTAACACATTTGATAAAGACACTGTGTTGGCGGAACAATTGTCATGTCAAAATATATAATTTTGTGAAAATCTGAACTTTCAGTTCTTATTTAATTTGATAAAAGGATTTTCATCAAGTAAAAGCCACCTCAGTTCAAAAAGTAAGCTGTCAAAATTTATTTCGAGGCGTTTACTTTGAACCAGTGTTTATCCTGTAAAAAAAGAGATAATAGTAACAATTAATATAATCAAGTTTATTGATCCAAACTTCACTAGAATAAGCACGCGAATCAACCATAAAAAGAAAAGAAAAAACTAGAAATGCTAGGGAAGATGTTTTGTCACACACATCAGTGGACGATCATCTAAATAAATGCCCACATATCATGTGGCCATAATTTACGCTTCATTTATTTTTTTACATGATCTAATGGGTATAGTAAATTCAGTTATTTTATATTTATTAATGGTAAAATCCGACTGGTAGAAAAACCACTTTATAAAAAACCCTTTTTTGTGTTTCAGTACATTTAACAATGTCGATAAATATCTATGTTATGAACATTCGTACGAAATGTTAGACTTTCATGAAGATATGGTGGATATTGTGTTTAAGAATCCTATAAAAGAGATATCGTACTGAATGCACAGCACGCCGCTGAACCATAGAAAACTATCGCAATTCTTCAAGCGTATTTATAACAATTTTGAGCTTTCTGTATCCTCTTATATGATAAAATCAACGTTTCACATAAAACAGACCATGAATGATGACCTTAGCATTGAAAATGTCTTATTTATGCCTAAAGTAATGTGTTCCTAAAATTTTAATAAAACTTCAATAAAAATCTCCAATTGATAATTCATATTTCTCAAATATTTAACAAATTTTGTAGAAATCGTCTTCTCTAGCAATGCACGCGTAAATATTTACTAAATATGTAGCAAGTCTTAACATTTCTGTAAGACAAAGTTGTGCACAGAATAGCAACAACCCTGTAAAGTTAACTGTCTAACACGTGTGCACAGAATCACATAGCACATTTTGTGTTTTTCCTCTTGGATATCGCCCGTAACGGGTTAAAAATTGCGTGACATCCCCAGATTAGAAGAAAAAATACTCAAATTAAATTCCTCGACGAACGTCATCAATCACCGAAAGTGGAAAATTTAATTGCTAACCTGTTTTAACCGCTTCTAATTTGTTGTGCCGGAAATCCAGCAATAAAAGCGACAAAGACCGCTCAAATGCTCCCGGTTGAATGTCGCTCAGGTTCGAATGCTGAATGGCGAACTCCTTCACAGTCAGGATCCCGGAAAGCGAACCGCGTTCCAGATTTTCCACGATTTGATGACGGATCTCAATTTTTTTATATCCCGTTGACGTCGATAGGTTTTTTATCGCCGAATAATTCGGAAGACTTTGGCAGAAGTTCGAAACGCCGGTTTGCGGATAAAAGCACGCTTTAATTGGCGGCGACTTTTTATTGTAATTTACGTCCCAGATTGGGGAGAGGTTCGAGGAGATTTTCAGAAAACTGAACCAAAGAAACGTCGCGATGTACATCTCGACCCGATGTGCGTGGAAACAGATGGTGATAACTCTAGAGGATCGTGTGCACAGGCCATGTGTTCGTGTAATCATTTAATATACGAGGTACGTCAGAAATAAAGTAAGTTATATTAATATGGAACAATTATATAGCTCGGGTAATTTGGAACAATGTGTTGCTTGTAGAAGGCGCTAGTTGCACGCTTCTATTATAACTGCTTTATCTAAAACTTTTTCGCAATTTTTGATAAAATATGTAATACATGGATTGCTTCTGTGTCGAATTTTAATATTTCACTCTGCGGACCTTAGGACAACGGCTTGCATTGTCCATTTACAAAACCCAAAATCTAAATAAATAAAACCCACCTTTCCTCGACAACAGATGTCAATGGGTGTCAAAATGTTCGCAAAGTACCTTCTTTGTTCCTAGTGGCACCAATTTCTTCATAAATTTTCGCAGATGACCCGATGTTATTTCTTCCTTATATAACTATGAAGTTCCAGCGGCCCCAGAAGTAGAAATTCAAGGCGTTGTGATCGGAGCTATAACCTACCAAATTAAATTCTTTACCATGACCTATGTGGGAAACTTTCGTTCAGGAAATCTGGAACCAATCGAAAATAAGTTAGATATTATGTCTAATTGCAAAAATACTCTTCACCGTTAAGTCGCGCTGGTAGTTCATCTGACTAAATTACACAATTCATAATGAAAATGTCTTTCTTTTACCAAATGAAAGTTCTATTTTTGTCAAGTGTGATGGTTTCTACAATTGAAAATACCAAATGTAATATCTTGCTTAGAAAAGCAGCATCAATCACTTGTTTTTCTAATATGGGCAGGTCACGTGGCAACAACTTTTGAACAGGGGTACAATGGTATGGATAAGTCTCCCATTGCGAAGAATATTCAGAATTGTCCATTTGTTTATCTTGTTCTTGCACATAACGGCCTTGTGCTTATTTCAGGATATTTTAAGGTTGTGGATCGATGTAATATGTTAAACCTCGCAAGTGTTGAAATGTAATGTCATTAGAAAGGATTACTGATTTCAGGACAAAAGTTTAAACAGCCTCTTCTTGAGTGAGACAGATTGTTGATTACTCACAATAAGAATAAAAGAGTTTGAAAATTTGTATTGAGTAAGCTGGAAGGTAACAGTAATTACAATAAAAAACTAGATGCAAAATGTAAGATAAGAGTGTTGCTTTGAACTGAAGTGTAGCTAACTTGTTGATATTTGCGAATGCCATAAATCCATAAATGCCATAAAGGAAAATTTTTGAACTCTCTATTCGTCGTAGGAAGTCAACATCACAACATGCCATTTGGGATAAAACCAACGATTCAGAAAGTACAGAGTACAGAGTAAAGATCTGAAAGGTCTGGAAAATATATGGAAAGCATATTGTGAAAGATGAATTTTAAAGTCTTTGTACAATAATTGTTCCAAATAATGACAAATACAAAAAAAGAAACATAATCTGATTGTATCTAAGTAGTTTAAAAGAACAATAAACATGTCTTAAAAAAAGCAGAAAAAAATACTGAGCATCTCCAAATACCGTCAAATTAGATTTCATAATACAATATACATATACATCTCCAATAAATTGCCTAAAATTTGTTTTATTATCGGTAATAAATTCATTCAATGAAAAAAGGGTCTTTTTGGAAAACACAAATTATGCTTTTTGCTGTTTTCTCACGCATGCTACGAATAAGTTCTGAAAAACTATTATAAATTGCAACTAAGAATAGACATTTTTCTGGGTATATTATATTTATGTACCGACCTCTGTATTTAAATACAAACATAAAAAAATCCAATTCATACATGCCAGCAAGTGTCAGAATACAATTTTCTACAAAAACGGGTCTACAATTATCGCGACAGTTCACTTAAAAAATACTGCGTATACTCTTTTTTGGTAGAAGCAAAATAGAAGTTTAGATTGAACGAAAAACATCGGAAGCCATCAATGCAACACTGCTGATCATATTCCTATCAGTTACAATGAATGCATAGCAGTATTTAGCTAAGATCAAGCCTCTTATCTATTTTAACTACAAGGAAGGATGAAAGGATGTGCTTCGCAGGAGAGTACACCACGTTGTGAGACGCTCCTATTATTTTAACTATTTTAAAGGCTGTTGCCAGTGTATGTAGTGTATATGCGCATGCGTTTTTGCAAATCCTGAGGATTTTTGTGCCGCAATTAGCCGTTAATCCTAGAAAGTCTAATTAGGGTGTTGTGGGCAGTTTGTTGTGGATCTGTGATTTCAATAAAGTCGTCGTCTACCTAATATAATGGCTGGTGGTACTAGAAGTGGAAATTCTAGCAAATTGGAAGACGAGAACATGAAAAGGATTGCGTCCAGGGTATGTGCAGACTTTATCTCGCACCTCGAAACAAAAATCGATGGGAAGTTTGCCGCTCTTGATAACAAATTGTCCGAAATTAGTAACTCTTTAGACTGCGTTAACCAAACTATTTTCCAAAATTCTGAGCATATTGTCAAGCTGCAAGAGAGACTTGACAATTTGGAGCAGCACAGTAGGCGTAACGTACTGCGGCTTAATGGCTTAGGAGTTTAACCGAACGAGGATTTGCTGACTGATATAACTTATTTTATAAAGGATACTCTGAAAATTTCTTGTTCTTTTTGTGAGATAGATTCTGTTTTTAGGCTTAAGGGGAAAGATAACTCCTAAAAACCTCCCCCAGTGCTGGTTACTTTTATATCAAATATTAAAAAGAACGAAGTTTTTATTGCTAGAAGAGAGCTGTGAAAGATACAGATATCTCTGTCTACGAAGATCTGCCTCCTCAAAGATATAAACTAGTAACAGCGACTAAAGCTAGATATGGACATACAGGTCTGGTCTGCAAACGGTAAAATATTTTATTTGAACGAGAAGAAGCAGAAGATCCAGGTGCCGCTTCAAAATATTGCCCGAGCATGCGCACGTATTTATTACTCCGGTACGGCTATGGTTTGCACTTGGTATGGACCTGGAGAAAAACTTATCGTTTTATTTTACTTTTTATTGGTAAACTTTGGTTTATTTTATACCAATTTGCTTATCTTTATAAATCCAACTTTTGCTTTTTTTTTGGCGATATATATTGCGGATTTGTTAATACGAGACTTGCTGATTTGTATGCTTTTCGGTATATGGGATATATGGGATCTCGCCTCGTTTTTGCGGATTTTTTAAATTATTTGTTAATAAAAACCCTACTGGGTATTTGTGGAACCACATTTAATTATTTTTTCTTATTTGTATGCTTTTCTTTTTATGAGAACCTTCATTTATTCAACAGTCACGTTTGTTTTATTTGGGCGTCTCGTAACTCGTCAGTGCTTTTTTGCGTGCAAATTTGGTTTTTTGATGTTTGGCGGAGAACTAATACTCCCGCTTATTTTCGATTTTCAAATACTCTCGCCAACTTCGGCATGCATCAACTAGTTACAGAGCCCACTCGGGTTACTGGAAACTCTAGTTCGCTTCTTGATGTACTGGTCACCTCTCATTTATCCATATGTGACAATATTGAACTTCATGATATGAGTGATATCTCAGATCACTGTATCGTTTCTTCCAATCTTAAGCTGCAGAAAGACCGTCATCCAACCCTTTTTCGAACCTTTAGAGATTTTTCGGCATTCGATAATGAATTGTTTATGAATAGTCTTAGATCAACTAACTGGGATCTTTTACACTCTTTTGATGATGTAAACGTACAAGTTGACTTTCTTACGTATAATATAAATTATTTATTTGATATTTATGCTCCATTAAAACAGTTAGAATTAAGAGACCGCCAGCCCCTTGGCTGACCGAAAACCTTAAACTTTTAACAAAACTTAAAAATAGGCCACATTAATGTCTTAAGTCAGGTATTGCTTTAAACGATTATAGCGAATTACAAAATTTTGTGAAGTCCTGTGTGAGAGCAGAGAAAGGGGCTTATTTGGCAAGTACATTTAAAGCTAATCCTAAAAATTTTTGGCGTACTTTGAGGAGACTTCGAGTGCACAGTAATCCTACTTTAATGATTGAAAACAATGTTGGCCAACCTAATAGTTTTAATGTTGCTTTGACTTCTTTGGAGCTGTTGGTGGTATTGATCCTGGGTTCGTCTCGGCAAATTATGTTAATAAACAATTTGGTTCTAATTCATTCCGTTTTGCTAAAGTTTACCCACTTTCCTTGTTAACAAGTATCTGCTGACCGGCGTTTTTCAGGACTCATGGAAGCAGGCTGAAGTTATACCCGTCCCAAAGAAAGAGTGTCCAAGTAGCGTTTACTATTTTAGACCAATCAGTTTGCTGCCAACCATCTCAAAGATTATTGAAAAAATTGCAGCTAAACAACTTCGTCAGTTCCTATGCGTTAACAAAATCCTCCCAGACACTCAATCTGGTTTTCGACCTCTTCACAGCACTACTTCTGCCTTGCTTCATGTTACTGATCATTTATTGAGAGCAGCGGATTCTGAATTAAACTCTTGTCTCATACTCTTGGACTATAACAAAGCGTTCGACACCTTGGATCATTTCCTTCTCCTCGCCAAACTGGAATTCTTTGGGATAAAAGGTACTGCTCTTTCTTTTTTTAAGAATTTTCTTGGTCAGAGATACCAAAGGATAGTTATAGGAAATTCTCATTCAGATACCATTGCTTTGGAGAAGGGTGTTCCCCAGGGGAGTATTCTGGGACCCATTTTGTTCTCAGTTTATACAGCTGACTTCTCTAATTTTCTTAAATTTTGTAAATCTCATCAATACGCAGATCATACTCATACAACATACTACATTGCTTAAGATATTGTGTTCTTAGACACGCTTCGGTAACTTTCCAGAGATCTTTCAGCTATAACGCAGTTCAATTATTTAATGAAATTCCTTACGCTATAACGTCCCTCCCCACAATAAAGTCCTTCAAAAAAGCATTAATATTGTTTATTAGACAGTAACTAGCAAAAGCGTATGAGTTTATGAT